CGATCCCGTCAACTGTTTCACTGAATAACGCGATATGCTAGGCTCGATATTCTACAGTGTGCGCCTATTCCTCTCTTTCCTCTCCTCTGGACAGCGTTGTGGCTGGTCCTGCTGATTACAAACAGACACAACCCTCTCAGACATGAAGATTATCCTAAGCATAAAGAAAAGCTAATGAATGATAAACTCACGGATTTCAACAGTTGCAGAGCGGGTTCGACTTTGATGAAAACACTGGTGGGCTCCAACAGGCGCTCTCTGCAGGACAGAAATCAGAGAAAAACGAAGCTCCCTAACGCCACTCAGGAACGCCACCTCTCATTCGAATTCCTGCCTCATCACATGACCCAGCTATTAGAAGTGCGTCCCTTGCTCTGGCTCACGTCGCCTCATTCTTCAGCTTTAGAGCACGAACAGCTGGCACGCTCCGCTCTCTTCAATCCAAAACCCAACACTTTGTTTCACGTTAAACATACGAATATGTAACTCTCCCACTAACGTCTCTAACAACAGGAACGTTTGATGAGGTGTGAACAGCGTGGGATCGAATCGGCGCATTGCATAGCTTCTTCCGTTAGATTCCTTAGAGGGTGGTTCATGCGAGAGTGTGTGTGACCGACCAAGGTGTAATCCAGCAGTCTCCTGTCCGCTGCCCAAAAACAAAAACAGACACCCAGAATTAAAACCAGTTAAAAAGCACAGAAGTAAGCAGTTCCACCTGAAGAAAGTCACTGCTCGCCCACGCTGTTGCAGACAACAGGAAGCCGGGACTGCGAGCGCCCTAACGAGCTCAGCTTTGCGTCTGATAACTAAATCCAGACTCCATACTAAAATCCTTCATCTTCAAATGTAGAATTAAAAATCAATCAAGATCTAAACATATGTAAAAATGCTTCAACTGAGTAAACAGTCAAGTTGAACTTGCTGTCAACAACCAGCAACGCTGACGCATGCACAAATATATGACGCCATCTACAGCGACTGTTAAACGTCACATAGCCTTGTAATAGAAAATTACAAGTCTCGGTTAACATTTTTTAAACATTTGGGATAATGGAAGACCTCAACTACAAAGGGAACAAAGAGTTTATAGACTGTTTAATGCTCTGTACACTATATGTTTCTCAATATCACCTTTATTATCTGATATTCTCCTACATGGACAATTTACCCGGCTGGATTGAAACCTGCTTTATGTCTGATCGGCGAGCGTGGCCGGCGTTGGCCCCCGGCCTGCGGCGGGTCACAGCTGTCAAACAGATCAGCAGGACTTCTCTCTTTACGCCGCACCAACAGCTGTCTATTAAGAATCCTCCGGATCGTCATCAACGGCAAACTCCTCAGCTCACAACTCGCCTCATTACCGCCCTTAATGGAGGGAAGACAGAGACAAGGTAAATACAATTACTGATCAGAGCGCGGGACACCCGAGCCTGCAGCGGTGCCCCGTTTCACTGCCGGTACCCGACACCAGAGTCTGCCTCGTTATGGGCACCATAACCCCGTCACAGCACCGCTCCTGCTTTCATGGGTCGCTGTGTTTTGTTGTAAACTTCATCGGACGAACGAGCGTGTTGAAGCGCGTTGTTGTCGTCTGAAAATGGATGGAAAGTAAATCTGAGTTTGGCGCTGAGGCCGTGGTGAGGACTGCTCCCCCCCCCCCCAGGATGCCTTTTGTGCCAGACGCTGTGATTACCCAGAAAGCCCCTGGAATGCCCCCCTTCCTCATTAAAGAGACAAATATAGCGTGGTGTGGTCCAGGGAGGGTAAATGGACGCCGTAGTGTTATGTGGCAGAAATTAAACAATGATGAATGATGACGCTCAGAGGATGGAGGAGGAGGAGGATGAAAACAGCGACTATTTCCAGTGATGGCAGAATTCTTTACACATGTGAGGCGTTTGGGGTCTGTGGGCAATCACAACACCCAGATTCAGGTCTGCCTGAGGATCATCACTGCTGTTATTAATACTACTGACATTATTACTTGTATTACAGCAACTTTACTGCTGTTGTGGAAGCAGTATTCAGATCTTTTACTCAGTTAGAAGTAAAGTCCAGCATTTAAAAACTGTAATATTTCGCATTATTATCATCAAAATATACCTGATTCTAGCTG